TCCTCCTCCTCCTCCTCTTCCTCCGCCTCAAACTCGCACGGGACCGCCACGTGCTCCTCAGCAAGGCCATCTAAACTTAAGAAGCCCGGGGCTCCCTGGGAGCAAGCAGGGCGGTTCTTGGCATGGGTTCCCACTGTACGTGCCAACGCTTGCCAATCGGAGGAATCACAAGGCAGCAACGGACGAGTACGGGGATGCATGCATCCCCGATTCCATCCTGCCACTCTTCTCTGGATACGGACCGACCGACGTTCAAGGGTACGGAGCAAGGTGGCGGCAACACCAACACGACTGTGTACTGTGACCCGTCCAAGGACTGGGATGCGGCGGGTCCCAACCCGTCGATTCACACAGGACTCCGACGACGATCCCGACGACGAAGGATGCGGAGCCGTATAAGGATGCCGAAAGTACCGATGACGACAACGACGACACGACACGACAATCATACGCCCCAAGGACTCCCAACCTTACCAGGATGGCGAGTCGAAGATCTAAGCACAAGCCCCGCCCAAGATGTGGATACGGAGGTCATGCGGGTTGTATCTCTGTGCGCGTGGACCAGGGCGGCATTGATGGGCCTGTTTTCCACCATTTCCACCATAACTTGGATGGGGGAGAGGAGGTGGAGGATGAGGATTTTGTTGGCTCCACGCCCTCCTCTGAGTCCTTTAAAAGGATCTGACATCTGCTGCAACGAGGCGGTGCAGCAGGCCTGTGAATAAAATTAGGCATACGTGTTGAAGCACTGCATAATATTGCCGACATCAACCGTAACACCCGCTTTCTGTTGCCTGTAATGCGGGTGTTTGCCTTTTTACAGGGCGTCCATACCGTACTTCGCTGCGCGCGACGGAGGCGGCTGGCACTTGGCGGCTAACCCGCGGACAGAGGCTCCACTGGAATGCGCCTTGCACCTAGTGCAAATAAACAAAACCGAGCCATCAGAGCAGTCGAACGCAATCGTACGGTGCTCGAGGGCGTCCTGACTGGACGCGTGAAGCCGAGAAACCTGAGAACAGACACCTGGCAAGGGCCTACTCTGAGGTCGCTTGCCTCTGAGGCAAACAGCACAGCGCCACACTCCAGACCACATTTCCCAGCGACGCCCTGCGGTCGCAGCGGCAGCGGCATGCGGGGCAGAAATTCGTCCTACCTCGGAGAGGTCCAAGGTAGGCCACACATGCAAAACATGGGCCGCCAGCCTGATAGTCTGGCGTGCCTGCGTGACAAGCTTATCAGCAGCCGCTAGCTTGTCTGGACACGAAGGATGTAATTGCACTGCGTGCTTGGCTGCCGCGTCCGCATGATGGTTGCCGAGGCGCCTCCAGCGCTCAGCAGCGTCGATCCCCGCCTCATCCAGCTCCTTGTGAGCTGCGACTTTAGTGCACGTGGAAGGCGAGATACCTTGGGCATAGAGTTGGACGAAAGCCCCAGAGTAGGCCCTCTTCCCACACAGCTGCTCAGCCTTGGGCCGACAGGCTAGATTGACCACATTGCTGCAATCAGAGAAAACATCTATGCAGGCCGACGCGAGCACATTGGCCCAAGTCCAGCAGCTGAACTCGGCCGACTGAGGCGTCTGAGGATATGGGGCCCACACTGGGGCCCGAAACTCGGCGACGGCCGACCCTTGGTCGTCGACCATCACCACACTGCAGCCAGCCCTGGAGAGCTCCCGAACAGAGTGACGGCTGCTAGACCCGTCAATGAAAACGCTACCCCAAACTCCAATGCCAGGCTTAGCCCCAGAGGGCGACGAGATATCTTGGTGGTGCCACACAAAAAACGGGCCATTGTCCGTCTCAGTGAGGGGCCTGGGGTACCCATCGGCGGGGTGGCGGAAAGCCCCAGATATAAAAACGAACACAGCTTCCTCGTCGTCCTTAGCTGCTAAGGCTTCGGCTACAGTACTAGCGTCAACTAGAGAAGATCTAAGCTCAGCCACTGGCTCGTGGGGGCACTCCCACAACCTGTGGAAGATCGTGTCCGAGGCGCCGCAGAACGGGCAACCGCCGTCCACGAGGTAGCCTAAGCTCACAGCACGATCTCCAGTGAAAAAGGCTTCGGTGGCAAACGCTCTAATGTGGGCCTTCTGTAGGGCCGTGTATTTCTTGGAGGCCAGGGCCTCGCGCAGCACATCATAGCATATCCTCGGGATCACTCCCCTCTTTTCGGCGGAAAGACGCTCCAACATCCTAAAATAACCGTCCTTGAGCAAAATCCTGAATAAGGCAGGCGAGATAATGCCGAGGGGAATAGAGAAGCCACGGTCATCTCGCACCGTCATGAAGTTGTCCATGCACCAGCCCAGCCTAACCAGGGACATCCGAAGGGCCGACACGGGGCCCGCGACCGCTCTCCAGGAGCAGGCAGGGTTGGAGAACACAGCTTCCCACGCACGACGCAACGAGGGAAAACCTAAACCCCAAGAGTAGGCCCCAGTCTGGGCCAGCCAGATCTCCTTGGACCAACGGAGGATGGGGGCGGTGGCAGTGCGCCAGCACGGATCATAATCGAGCAGAGCCGCCGTCGTCAGGGATCTCAACTGAGATCGAGGTCGGACCACCGAGAAAACTTGACGACGGAGGCGAAGCAACTCGAGGTCGCTAGTGCCAGTAATTTCAGCGCCATAAGAAGCCCCCGCGAGGGGCCCCGAGGAGAACACCCTAAGAACCTGCGGCCGAGAGATGACTTTAATCTGACGCTTTAATCTCTTGGCCGCCCTCACAGCCTTGGCGATACGCATTTTGGACTTCACCGAGCGCCCCGCCACCCTAAGC